CAGGGGTCGGCAACCTTTTGAGTCGGAAGAGCCAAAATTACAATTTACAAAATTTCAAAGTTTTTAAAGAGCCACAAAATTTTTTCTTGCCAACAATAAATAGTACTCGCATAAATAAAGTTTTTTGATAAAAACTAATCTATTTATTTATAAGAAAAAATATCTATTTATTCATATATAAGTAGTATTTTTCACAACAAATTAGATAATAGAAACATCCGACGACGGCGTCATTCGAGAGCTTCAGACGGACTGACGACAGTGACGACGCGTGTCACAGGGGAGGGGTGCAGTGAAAAGCGAGTACAAGTGGCTGAGAGAAAGAATCAGTACCTAATCCTCATTAATCGATTCAGAACGATTTTTAAATTTTTTTTTTGATAAAATAAATATTTGTGTATGGAACTAGAGCCGCAACTTCACATCCAAAGAGCCGCATGTGGCTCGCGAGCTGCAGGTTGCCGACCCCTGCCTTACACCTTAAAATATCCTGATGATATAAGAATTAGTATTGTTTTTTTAAAAGTATTAATTGGAAAATTTTGTTCTTGTAAAAAGTACCAACATACAGTACATAACTAGTAATCAAATTTGAATTAAATATGATTATTTTGATTTATATCTGTATATTTAAATTCATGTATTTAATTTTATGTTGGACTAAACTGATTAATTATTTAAATTAACTCATTCTACTCTTAATATATTTTGAAAATACTTTTATTGTGAAATTACTTTTAAAAATTTCAATAAAAAGTAATGACTATAATTTTGAAAATAAACACTAATAATACTATTAATATCACTAAAATATATATTTTTTACAATTAATTATGAAATTATTAAAATTATCTTACCACAAGAGCAACATATAAAACAATTAGTATGGTATAGATTTCCCATAGCTTGACATGCTTGACCAACACCAGTTACTTTTTCTCCACAAGTATGACAAATACCTAAAAATTGTATTAATAGATTGTTATTATATTGATAAAACAATAAGATCAAAATTAACATTATAAACAAGGCAAAGAATTACAGTAGTGTCAACCTTGGGGATGAAAGTGTAGGTGAGCCTACCAGTGGTGTCACAGTCCCAGCTGTATTGCCAGAGAATGAAGATTTNTTTTTATATACATAATGAGAATATACTCTTTAAGAGTTCTAAAAGCTGAGGAGCAGCAAACCAATGAACTGTTTCAAAACTTGGAAATTGATATTTGTCAGGTGTTTTTATTCTTCGTTCCAATTCATATATTCTGAAACAAACATTTTAAAAACAATGTTATTTAAGTCAAAAATTATTACTTTGAAGGAAATAAATTTTGATAAATAATTTCTAGTATTGCATTTTATTGAACCATTCCCAATACACAGTGTTGATCACAGTGCTATCTCTTTTCTTGTCCTAAAGAGAATTCTTCATTGTACAGACCCATATCTTTGTCCACAGCTACAGTGAAAATCTTTGAACTCTGTATTTATGAATTTTACACTTACCATCTAGTTGCAACTAGACTAAATTCTATTCAACACTGTGGCATAGAGCTTCAATTTATTGTTACCAATTTAGTTTCTATTTAAGATGAAATAGTTATGAATTCTGAGAAAAACCTACCTACATTGTATACAGTCGACCCCCCTATAAGATCATTGATTTTTCCGTTTTATCTGAATTACATGTTGTACGAGTCACTTAGATTTTACAAATATGTGAGCCGTTCACAGCCCGGCACACGCATTTGTAAAATCTAAGTGACTCGTACAACATGTAATTCAGATAAAACGGAAAAATCAATGATCTTATAGGGGGGTCGACTGTATATTGACAATGCTAGGACATTCAATTCAGTTATACTTTCCTTCTTATTAGACTTTTTAAAAAACAATTTTAAAGTTCATCCTACTACACAGCTTGGTTAAATAATTATTTTTTACTATGTTACTGCAAAGTTAAACTATAAAACTTTTCTTTTTGCAATTTCTCATTAGCGTATGAATTTCTCACGTATCTGTCTGAAGTAACCTTCTTTTTATTGCTTATTTAGATCTTGCAATTCCTAGTGTTTATTCTAAAATTATAGCTTATACTGACAAACTAAAAATCATCAACTCTGATTCTGAAATTCTACAGGCTTATCTCAATACTATAGTTGCTCCCTCAAGTCTTTCAACCTTAAAATTAATTTATCAAAAAGAGTATGTGCTATTCAGTTTTAAGAAGTCAAAATCATTGCACCTTTTACATTTGTGGGCAGCAGATTAATTATGTTTATTCTTACAGTGACCGGAAAGAGATTTTGATGAGGAATTGACATTTAAACAGCATGCTGATAAACTAGTGAAAAATTTAGCTATCAGAAAGGGAATCTTGCAACATCACTGTAACTTGATTTCTTCATTCAATTTTGGAATGTGTCTTCACTAATTTTCAATACCTGGTCAACTGTTGTCTGCCAAGCAGCTCAATTACTTCTTAACAAGATTTTAAATGCATTTTGCAAGGTTGATCTTTTGCTTAACAAGTTAGGTCATCTACTTTACACTGACTCAAATAAGGTGGCATAAATAAAATTTGGATTCCTAAAATTCTTTGCATACATTAATTATTTCAAGCAGTTATTATTTTATCAGTATTTTAATGGGTTACTTTCTCCATATAATATTTTTATCCAAGTTCCTCCTAGACCAACTCAAAATTTATCTTGTTTATCATATCCTAATTTCGTATCTAGACATTTGTTCTGTTGTTATACTGTTACAGCAACTTTACATGTAAAGTCCTTTTCATTTTATTGATNCAAACAAGAAGGATGTTTGCAGAAAAACTTATAATTATCTTTATTTCTATAATATTAAAAATTATTATTAATTGAGTAAGAACTACACTAGGAAAATTTTGTCCCTAAGTGAAGTACAGCACTGGCCATTGGCTTGCAATCTCACATTAGATCATGAGGGAGATGCTAAATTAAAGCAACTTGTCACTTACTTCAACAGTAAATTCTTACCTTTGTTTAATACTTCCTTAACTTGCATAATAAAAGTTGTGCAACCTTGCAAGTTATATATGGTCAATTTTTCAAAAAAAAAAAAAAAAAAATGTTAAAAAGATTGATAGGCAAGAATGCTTTAAATAATATGGCATTGCTGCATTTTGAGTATTGGGCAGTGTGTGCTTGTTTGTTTTTATATTTACAACGCAAAATTTTTCAATTGACTTTAACATGGGGAGGATCTTTTATTCCATTACTTCCCATTCTAAGTCAAATTTTGCAATTTGACCTCTGTCCAACATGCCATTTTATTACTTCTATTACTGCATAAAATTTTGTTCAAATTCGTCATTACTTTCTAAAGCATGTTTCAGCAATTTTTCAATTCAAGTCACTACCAAGTAAGCTTGCTCATTTCACTCACTGTGCTTCAATTATTAAAATATGTATTTAATATAACTTATTTGTTGTAATATATTAATTTTATTTAATAAAAAGTAAAATACATCTGGATACGAGTCCAATTTTGCTTGCCATGTCCAATCACCAGGAACAACTATTTCCATTGCAGAGACAACCTTTCTTTAGAGGCTATGCCTCTGCACAAATATGTAAAACAGTTTAAAATGTCCACAGGTGACAATCCCAACAAATTTGTATATACACAATAGATCTAAGCATCTAACTATGGGTACAACTTTATTCTATATTATAAAAGAGCTCACGAGGTTTACATGAGACGATAGCACACCTCGTGGCGGAATGCCCAATGCCTCCATCTCAGTTGAGACGTATCTGTTGCGCTACCATAACAAAATTAAAGTCACGACAGATAGAACCGTTATACTCGACCACTAGTACATAGACTTACGAGAGCTCTTAGATATCATAGTACTTACCAGACTTTTTACAATAACGTAACCTACGATGTGCTTTGTGAATACGACCCTTTTTGCATCTGGCAACTTATATGAATTTCGTCGTAAGTTACCATACGAAGTGTTTATGAATCAGGGCCGAGATTTCAAGACACTTACGTTGTGCGCAAAATATGTTGAAATAATTCTCATTTGATTTCTATGGCGGTTGGTAAGAGAGAGATTACTCCATGTCTCAAATAAAATTAAATTTTGAAAGAAAACAAATTAGCATAATGATTGTGATTTTAAAGCTAATTCAACGGTACTCGATGCGAAGGACGATTTAGCATACAACGCAGATGATGATAGCAAGGCGTTTAGCCTAGAAATAGAATTGCTCAGATAGATCCTAGTTTCGGTCACGACCGATTCTCGGGGCTAAGTATAGTATAATAGGCTGCAAGGGGAAGGGCGGATTTAAGCGGTGCTCAGTAGGCAGTTGCATCCTATTCTAAGACTTTTCCCGAGTAAAGCTTCTGGAAGTAAAAACAAAATTGTAAGACATGCTGTATTATTTCCTTTCTGCACCACCCCTTTAAAGATTTCTGGATCCCCTACCGGCAGAGGATATAATGTATGTGAATCTTTCGTGTTAAGCTTCCAATCAGTACAATTGGACAAGAACGTCCACTTAGATTTGGGAGTCGTATGAGCACAAAAGTTATTAATAAATAAGTATTAGCCGCTTATTATCTGTCCGCAGAAACTTTTTTTTTTGGCAACCACGGTTTTGCCAATGTTTTTGGGAGGTAATCCCCACAGTTGGTAAGGGATTCCTGTATATGTTTTAATTATTCGATTCTTTGAGTTATTATTAAAAAAAATTTGGCTTGTCAGTTCCATAGAATAAAACAGACTCGAGTACGCCTCCACTAGAACGGGCAAAGACAAATCAGATTTTTAATATCTCTTAACTATTTAATTTCTCTTTGTCTAAATTAATCCATATAAACAGCGAATACGTAAAATGTTTATATCAAAAACACTTTTTCAGACACTTTGAGTAAGTATAACAAAAATAAATCAAGGTACTTTGAAACCGTGCTAGTAGTTATTAGTAGTAATTCAAACACAAATTATTATCGTATTTATTTTCAGGCACTTGGCAATTTTTATCATCAAGTTTTTATTTAGTTGATACGTGTTGATATTACACACGTTTCGGGCATTTATTGCCCCTCTTCAGCCAACTTTTTTAATTTACGAGTTATCAAGATATTAAAAACCACAGGTTTCATCGCTTATGCTTACTGGTTGTTATGGAATTACAAAAATTTCTTGGCTCTTAACACACTTTAATCTAAGAAAACATACGGTTTATATTATCTAAAATATTTTAAAACCTTATTTTTTATGGATTTACATGACAAAATTACAATGAAGTACGTACCTAATTATTTGTTTTTCATTGTTATAAAATCTAAACACTTTAAAATTTTTCTTTATACATTTACAACAATACTAAAATTGACATATTTGTCTTTCAAAATCATGCAATTTCCTCTTTTTGCAAACCATTGGGATGACCTCTCCTCCCCCTCTTCTTTCCCCCAGTTAAGCGTACCACTGGTTACTATAGTCATATGACTAGCAGGCCACCTTGTGGCAGTATTACTTTTTACATGAAATATCTTTT